TTGTCATTATCGGCGCCGGCAGCAGCGGCGGCCGTGGCAGCCTCGGATCGTTTCTCTTCGGTGAGGAGGAATTCCTTGAAAGACCGGAGAATAGTACTCTCGAGTGCCGGAACCTTGGCCTCGAAAACTTGTTGGAACTTGGTGTAAACGTTCGGTGAGACGTAGTTTCGGGGATGGGCCTGGCAGATGAGGCCAATGGCGTCGAGGGCGTGCTTCCGGGCCTCCATGGGCTGTGATGCATCTGCCCAGGGTGATAAGTTGTCGACCATAAGCTTTGCCACAGATTTGCCCGAGTACTTTGGGAAGATCTTGAGGAAGACAGCAAGCTCAGAGTCCAGATCGCAATGCTTGCCGACCATTCCAACAATGATCGAGTATCTGGCAAACTTCATGAGCTTGGTAGCGTCCATCTGTGTGTTGCGCATGCTGGCAACCCCTCGTAAACTAGAAGCACCCAGATGGGCTAGCTTGTCGCGGTTGTCCAGGAGAGTAGCAATAATCCACAGACATGCCACGACGTCATCCAGGAGGTTCTTGTTAAGTCTGCCAACGGAGTTTTGAAGCTGCTCTCTCACTTCTCGTAGGAAATCGGCATACTTGGCAGATAGCTGCGGCAAGATCTGGCGATAGATGATCGCCACGGCCTTGAAAACGGCCAGGTCATCAGCACCACTGATGCTAGCGAGATGGGGTTTAAGCAGCCTGATCTCTTCGAAAGTGAAAAGCTTAGGGTCTGCCTTGGCGAAGATTTGCAGTACCTGCAATGCATCTCTTCCGGAAGGGATATTAGGATCGTCGGAATCAAGACTATCGATAAGCTCGAACATCTTCTCAACCAACTTCATGCTGACACCGAAGGGGCCATTGTGGGATTTGTTCTGTCCACCTAAGATGGACTGAAGGACCTTGTCGAGAACTGCGCCAACATTGCCAGTCTTGACTGTCTGAATCATAAGAGCGACGTGGTCGGTGAGGGATGTTTTGAAAGCTGCTGTGTCGTCGACTTGGTAAAATGGGGCGAACCAGACCTCCTCAATCATCTGCCGAGCAAGTTCTCGAACGCCTTCGTCGGGGTCTTGCACGCGATGAAGCAAGCCATTGGCAATAGAGCTGCGAATCTCCCGGCTTTGGTTGCGAAGGTAAATATCTTTAGCCAGTTTCATTGCTCTCTTCCTCACACCGATGCCGGAGTCGATGAATCTCTCAATGATTCTTTCCGCCATCTTGTCTTCAAGTCTCGGACGTAGGCCAATGCACTTGCCCATCAAGCCAATCGCCGAGTCACGTACTTGAGGGGACGAATCACTTGAGCAGTTGATGATCAAATGGACCACCACGGAGTCTCCGTCCAGGATGGCTGGGTCCGTCTCCAAGAGCTGGTTGATACTCTTGAGACTCTTGCTGCGAACGGTGGCCTGGTCACTAGCCATTGCATTAAGCAGAACGTTGAGCATCGCTCTAAAGTGTTCGCAGAATGGTGACCGGAGGAGAATGATGGAGTATGCCAACTTTGCGTGGCTATTGTTGACATCCTTGAATGTGTATTCATTAGAAAGCCATCGACGATCCTCGATCATCATCCTGAGGCGGAAGGCAAGTCGTCCGAACTCGTGGTCTAGCAAGTCGTTGGTCTCTTGCAAGGCATCATAGCCGGAAAAGATCCTCTGGGCCCAGTCTGCAATCAGGAAGGAAATCGCGCCTTGCAAATGAGGGTCATCGCCACACCGTTGCTGGAGGTGTTCAAGAGTTGTTCGGAACGGTCCTGACCACGAGACATCGTGTTCGATTCGGCTTTTTTGCTCCAGTGCAGATGTAGCCAACTCAGACAAGTACCGTGACAACTCATTGGAGTCGCTTCCATCCATGGAATAAGTGACCTTACGAACATGTGAACGCAGTTTGGAGACCGCGGCGCTCATGACGCCGAGAAGTTCGAGAGCCATGTTTTTGGCAGGCGCGGCGGTCCTATCTCCCTCCCAGAGCTTCATCATGTAAAAGGTCATTTGGCGAAGAATGAGCTCAGCGGAGGGCCAGTCAGGAGAGTCGAGACACTCCGTAAAGTCTTCGACGAAAAGGTCGAGAAGATTGCGGTATGGAGTATCGCCAGACTTTGTGGACTTGAGGGCGCGATTGACCATGAAGTTGACAACATAGTTTGCATTATGCGTCGAGCCTTCGGTCAAAGGCAAGGCCACAACCTTGAGCTCCTCCAAGGCGAGCACATGTTGTGAGGCACCGGCATCTTCTGACTTGATAGTGGCAGCCACCGTCTGTTTGCCGGGCTGGGCCATCAGCTCATCCTCATCCGGATCTTCCTCTTGCATCATGGCGAGGCGACTACGTGTGCCCTTCTCGTCAACCTTGCCAGAGCTAGCCTGGACAAGACGCATGATCAGCGCCGATACGGGCTGGATGCTTCCGCCATTGGATAGGCGGAATTGGCGAGCACTTTGCTTTCCAACCGGAAGCTTTTCTAACGATGTGAGGATATCGTCAAAGATGCCACGGCGCTGGTCGGGCTTGGCGAGGAAAATCTGGCAAAGCATCTCCATTGCTACCAGACGAATGCCATCAAATCTCTGTACACCAACAACAGAGTCCTTCTCTAAGTAGGCGTTGTCGACGAAAAGCAAGCTTGATGCGGCGAATTCTAGCATGCCAAGAGCAGTGTCCGAAAGTTCTATGCTTGTGACGAGTTTGGCGAGCAGCGCAAACAGCTTCTGGCAGTTCGTGAGAATCGGGCCAATCGCCTTTTTGTGAGGTTGTAGCAGCTTGAAGAGAGCAGATGTTGGGCCACTGCCCCTCATCTCGACCACAGGGATGACGATACCCTCAACAACCCCCTTGAAGACATCTGTCGACTTTTGAATAATCTCCTCAGAATAGATCTGCTTCTCTTCTCTGCCACCGCACATGATGCGTAGGCAAGTGCGCGCAGTCTTCAGCCCCATCTCAATCTCTGGAAGCTGATTCAGCCAGCCGGAGACTTCGGACTCGCCCCAAGTCTCCTCAATTCGATAATCGAGATTGAGGGTATGTGCCAGGCCCGGTTCACTCAGCTTCTGAACGTACTGAAGTTCCTCGATGGGCGCATCGCCGTAACTGCCCAACTCGATGGACTTCTGGATGGCAGTCTGCAGCTTCTGCTGCGTGGCCCCCGTCAAGACAGCTTCGTTGTCGGGGTTCAGCGTAGCGACCTGTTCGTAACCGGGTTCGTTCCCGAGCACATTTCTAGTGGCATCGAGTACGCTCTTGATTAGTCGCTCAAGGTCCTGCAGTGCTGCTTCCGCCCGTTGCTTCTGGTTGAGGTTGGTGCTGATATCATCCTGTCGGCTTTGATAAGCACCATCTTGCCTTCGCATGGACAAACCCGTTGGCTCATCAGGAGAGTCTGGGGCCGCCATCTCAAGATATTCATCCTTGTTGAATCCAGGAGCGCGAGGCAATTCTATTGCAAACTTCGTCTTCTCAGCTTCAACCGCAGCCGCTGGTCCTAGTGCATTGGAGGGCGTCAAAGGCTGCGTGGGAGTCGGTTGGATGGGAATAGGCTGTGCGGGGGACGGTATCGCCGAGAGCTGAGGTTGAGTAGGCGTCTCCTGCTTCAGAGCAATCTGCGTCGGTGTAACAACTCTCGTGACGTCGGATGGATTGACGGTAGCTGGCTGTGGAGCGGCGTGATCGGAGACCTCTACGTATGCGCTAGGATCGAATTTCTTGGACGGAATCGCGACTTCGAAGCGAAAGTTGTTTCCGTGATGGGTTTCTGCATTTGCCGATGGACGCTTCGGCGGGGGCGGGGCAGATTTGGGTGTCGATGGAGGTTGTGGCTGTGGCGGTTGAGCAAGCTGACCGTTGGCGGAGGTTGAGGCAGTACTCGATGCTCCCGGAGGCTTGACGAATGTGGGAGCCCTATCGAACACCATCTTCGCCACCGGAGAGAGACCAGCACTCAGACTCTGGAAAGATCCTGCTGGACTATTCGCCATATTCGGGTTCGCTTTGGGGACAGTCTTGAACTTGCTGCAAAACACAGGTGTTAGACAGTAGTGGACCCAGGTAGGGCAGTACTCAACTCACAAGTAGGTCCGTTGATTGGGCTTCAGATCGTGAAGTACGTGATCAACCGCATATTTTAGGTGCTTCATCCCATGGTTGTGATTTTGTCCCGTTGCTTCCTTGTTTAGGCTGTCGAATTCCTGACTGCTGAACATTTGGGAGATGCTCGAAGCAAGAGAGCCAGAGCCAAGTGTCGGATCGGGAATGAGATCTGAACCATGTCAATTAGCCGGGCGACCTCAGATACAGACAAAGATAGCCACCAACCTGAGGTAAAGGGAATGACAGAGGTTTGAGGAGAGTAAGGCAGGGCCTCAGACAGCGTAAACGGTCTGGCCATCGGACGTTGTTCTGCAGCTTGCGGCTGCATATAGCCACCATTGGGCGGGCCGTTCTGGACGGTCCCCTGGCTGTTGACCATTTTTTCTGTCTCCTCGGACCTGTTCCGGGCCTCAAGACATGTTATTTCGTGAGGAGGACGGAGATTCGAAGCCACTGGCGAAGCTGATCGGCAAGGGTGTTCGGACGTGGGAACGCGCAGCGGAGGAAGAATCGCTTGTCGGGTCGAGGAGTTTGCAAACGAATGAGACAAAAAGGTCAGGCAGAAGAGAAAGGCGCCTGTCGCATAGTCCCTGGCTGAAATGTCGCACTTGGGAAAGGACGATCTCTTGCGATCGGGCGTCGTCGTTGTCGTCGTGGATGTGATGAGAAGGTCGGAAGGTTGCGACAGCCTCGCGTGGAAGGACCCTTGTCCAGTCGCGTGGTCCGTGCAGAAGCTTTAGGCGGCAGGAGCGGCCAACCAGTGGCCAGTTGTTCCGTTCTTTCCTGTTTCCCCTGGCACTTCCAAGGTTCTTTGTCTCGCGCATCTGGGAGTGTGCAGTAGCCGCCTATAGATGGATTACATAATACCTTTCTGTACGGTGGAGACGACGGACAACAGAAGACAATCGATAAGATCAAAGATAACGATAAGGAGGTAGGTAGCGATTGTCCGAAATTCTTCGCAGAAATATTTTGTCGGCCTCTGTCTGCCGCGATACTCCGTCGATCACCACACCCACCGAACCCCCGTAGACCCTCGATACAAAACACATACCGATCCCACCGCAGCCATGTCCGCCATTGGAACCCTCGTCTTCTGCACCGATTGCGGTAACCTTCTGCCCGCGTCTATGGGCACGGAGAAGAACACCCTCACCTGCGACTGTTGCGGTGCCGATAACAAGGGTAGGCCGACCACCGTTGGCGTACACTCAGTACGCTGCGCAAGACTGTAAACTGACAAAATCGATTCAGACACTGGCGCCAAGACGATTAAGACTCAGACCAAGCCTTCCGATTTCCCTTCTCACCTCAGACAGAAACTCCAGTCCAACGTCCAGGCCGTCGACAGGGCCAACGTCAACACCGAGGCCACGATCAGGGAGACATGCCCCAAGTGCGGCGCGGAGGAGGTCCGCTTCACTGCCGTGCAGCTTCGCAGTGCCGACGAAGGCAGCACCGTTTTCTTCACCTGTCAATGCGGTTTCAAGTACGCCAATGCCTCTTTTTTCATTCCGACCGAGCTAGCTTTTCCCTCTTTATACTAACCGACTTATTTCCAGGTGGTCTCATAACAACTGAAATGCACTAAACTTTTTGCCCGTCGCTTTTAAGTACCTAATACCACCCGATATTTACCTGCCCGACCCAACGTTTCCAAACCCAAAAAAGACCTCTACATGTTCAAGCAGCCGCCTTGGCCGCCTCAGGAATCAACGCATACTCCGTCTGGCCGCTTGACTCGAACTCGGCCATGTCCAGCGCCACGATGACGCTCTCGCGCACAACCTTCTCCTTGTCGTGCAGGAACTTGAGGAGCGTCGCCTCGACGCCCTCCTCGTCCCCCAGGCTGCCCAGCGCCTCAGCGGCCTCATGCCGCACCATACTCGCCTCCTCAGTGTTGCTGAGCGCTTCAGTCAGCGCGGGAATAGAGGCCGGGTGCGACAGTTGGCCAAAGACGAAGGCGATCTCGTGGCGGAAGAGGGCGGAGGAGTCGGCGAGGCCTTTGGCTAGGGCCAGCACCGCGGGGACGGCGGTCGGCAGGTCGGGCGGCGACGCGAGGTCGCGCAGAGCGAACATGGCGCGGTAGCGCACGAAAAGGGGCAGCTTCGAGTCCATGAGGGACTTTTCGAGCTCTGGTACGGTACGCTGCGACTCTTCCATGGGAGGTGCGGGGTCTACGGACGTGAAGTCGCTGTAGAGCACGAGGGCATAGGCGTTAGCATAGTGAATTACGATACCCCCCTTCTTTTCCCCATGAAAATGCACCGGGTTCCAGAGCCAAGTGAGAAATTTCTTACCTCTTGCGCAACTTCTCGAGCTTTCTCTGCTCCGAGTTCTCCCACTCGAGACGGTCGATGGCAATCTCGCACGTCTCAACGATGCAAATATCCTCGCCCTCGCGGTCCCTGTACTCTCTCAGGATGTCCAACTGGCCGGCGTCGCCCAGTGCACCCAGGGCCTCGGCGGCCTCGTGGCGGCACATGGGGTCCTCCTGGAGATCAGTGAGGACATTGCGCAGGTAGGGAACGGCGACGAGGTTGGCCGTCTGGCCGAGGCAGTAGGCGAGCTCGTGCTTAAGCAGGGCCGAGGGGGAGGCGAAGCCGGCGGCGATGGCCTCGATGGCGGCCTCGCTGTCGGCGCCCTTGCTGTTGCAGGCGACGTGCTTGAGGGAGAAGAGGGCGCGGAAGCGGATGGGAAGGGGGGTCGTCTCGGAGGTGAGCGTCTTGCGCAGCTCGGCGATGGTCTGGGACTGGTCGGCGGCGGCGATGGCCTCGAGCGTCTCGCGCGTCTCGGGGAGGTCGGCGGAGGGGGACATTGTCGTGTTTCTTTGGGGGTGCGAAAAATGAAGAGGGGGTTATCTTTTGTTCTATGGACTGAAAGAAAGTAACAACAATGCCGTCAATGAAAGTGTGTGGTGACTCAAAATGAGGCTTGAACGGGAGAAAAAAGAAGAGGGCGTGGGCCGATTGTATTCTAGGAGAGCGGAATGGACTAAGACTTACCTCCGAGGGGTGGTCTCTTGCCGTCAAATCTGATAAAGTCGGGCTGGCTGTAGAAATTTTGCGAGGGGCATAGCGGGGTGATTGGGACCCGATAAGATCTGCCCCTCACTGAAAAGAGAACCCTGCAGCCCCGTCCCGGCGTCCACAGCTGCATTTCCTGCAGAAAACGAGCCAAACTGAGAGAGAACCTGAGAGTGCTTTTCAAGTATGCCGTACGTAATGCTACGGGTCTCTCAACCCACTGCAGTTTCAATCATATTGCGTCAAGTTGGGCGTTTCCCTCAACGGTCAACAGATGTCATTGGTCTATTAGTCTAGTTGGTTAGGACGTCGGATTCTGATTCTCAGAACCTTCCGTAGGCCCAGGTTCGAATCCTGGATGGACCTCATCTTTTGTCCCGGCACGCAGTACATTAGGATGTTATTATATCGTTGATTGCGAGCAGCTTATAATGGTTACTGTGCTTTTTTTTTTTTTTTTTTTGCTTCCTTCCGGTGCATCTGTCAGTCTTGCAAAGTGTAGCTTCTGGTTCGTTACATCAGCAAACTTTCAGTGCTGGAGAGTGACTCTATTAAGTGGGGTTACAACCGGCGAACTTGGAGGCGGCATTGCCACCACTCACAGCAACTCATTTTGTCAACCGCTCTCCTTCATCTAAGATACAAATCAGCCTGTTAACCAGCAATAAGCTCCGGCTTCTTCAAGAATAAACCTTCCAAGCCCCGACAAACTCACCTGTCAGTATCCATCATGTTCCCTAAATCTTGCGGCCAGTATCGATCCTAACCGTCGCCACAGGACCGTTCTTTGAGCACCGGCTTATCAATCAACTTCACCTCACTTGGCCTCACCTCATCGCCGGTCCCGGACCAAGACTCCAACCTCAAGACATCTTCGTCCATCTCATCCACACATCTCTTCCATTCTCACAATAACGGATAGTCTCTGAGGGCTTATCCCTGACAATTCCCTCCGCCTCTCAAACTCAGCAAATTCCCGCCTCACATCTCACAAAAACCGGCGCGTAACTCCAAAAGATGGCCCCCTCCCTGGAGGCGGACCCCGACTCAGCGGTCCAAGACGTCCTCGCCAACCCCCTCAAACAAAAACCCTCCCTCGTCGCCCCAGAACCAGAACACTGCCCCGGCCCAGAATCCGCCGCCGCCGGCACAGCAGACTCCTGCGCAGGCTGCCCCAACAAGGAAATCTGCGCCGCCACCGCCGTCAAAGGCCCGGACCCAGACATACCCATCATCGCCTCCCGCCTCTCCGGCATCGCCCACAAGATCCTCGTCCTCTCAGGCAAAGGCGGCGTCGGCAAATCCACCTTTACCACCCTCCTCGCTCACGCCTTCGCTACGAACCCGGACAGCGCCGTTGGCGTCATGGACACGGACATCTGCGGGCCCTCGATCCCGAAAATGCTCGGCGTCGAGGCCGAGACGATCCACGTCTCCGGCGCGGGCTGGTCCCCTGTTTGGGTCCTCGATAACCTGGGCGTCATGTCCATCCAGTTCATGCTCCCCGACCGCGACGCGGCCATCATCTGGCGCGGCGCCAAGAAGAACGGCCTCATCAAGCAGTTCCTCAAGGACGTGGAGTGGGGACCCCTCGATTTCCTCCTCGTCGACACACCGCCCGGAACCTCGGACGAGCACCTCAGCGTAAACACGTTCCTTCGCGACAGCGGCATCGACGGCGCCGTTGTCGTCACCACGCCGCAGGAGGTCTCACTCCTTGACGTCCGCAAGGAGATTGACTTTTGCCGCAAGGCGGGTATCCGCGTCCTCGGTCTCGCGGAGAACATGGCGGGCTTCGTGTGTCCCAAGTGTACGAATCAGAGCGAGATCTTCCGCGCCACGACGGGCGGCGGGCGGGCGCTGGCCGAGGAGATGGGGGTGCCGTTCTTGGGAAGCGTGCCGCTGGATCCGCGGATCGGGATGGCGTGCGACTATGGCGAGAGCTTCTTTGATAGTTTCCCTGATAGCCCTGCGTGTTTGGCGTTCAAGGAGGTGGTGAGGAATGTGAGCAAGGAGATGGGGTTGAATGAGAAGGACGTGTTGCCGGAGGACTGAGTGGGAGATGAGGGCGAGGTACTGACTGCCTGGTCATGATTTAAACGCATATTCAACGACGGAAATAAAACAAGAAAGATATCCATCAACATTTCACGAATAAGCTGTATTGGCAAAGCACTTGTATTATGTACGCGAAATGCTGCATACTACCGTCCTGTTCTTCATCATGAACGGGGCCAAGCCTGTGGTCCCCCCTTCAACTGTCTTCATAGAAGTGTACTCCTCGCCTCGCAAATGTTCATGCTTCATGCCATCTCCTGTTTTTTTTTTTTTCAAGGGCATGCCTCCCCTTTACTCAGCGCCCAACTTCTGCGGTATCTCCTCCAGGTCCTCGGCCTCCTGGATATCAATCACGCGACCGACCTCGCTCGTATTCCGCATCAGCTCCTTGGCGCCGGCGTAGAGCATCTTTATCTCGTTGTTGCAGGTGATGGGGAGGTAGTAGATCAGGACGTACGGGACCGACAGTCGGCCGGAGGGCTGCGGGAGGTCGATTCGTTAGCCATGAGGGTCTCTCTTCTCCCTGTCATATATATCGCAAAAAAGCTTTGAGTGGATAGAGAACATACCAGTGTAAGCGGGTAGCTCAGGAGAATGAAGCGCGGGCTGTGGTCCGGGAGTTCGTCGCTGATTTCCTCGAGAGACTTGTACACGGTCTTGTCCTCGTCTTGCTTGATCTCGTGCGTGTTCTTATCGATGTAGTCTATGTGGTAGAACAAAGTTAGAATCTAGAATACACTTGGTTCAGCGCGCACATATCCGCCGGGCATGTGTCAAACCCAAAGGAGACATACATACATATGACAGCTTGAGCATCGTTGGACCGCGATGTTCCGAGACGGAACTTGCGCAGGTGGTCCTTTGTCTCCTGAGAGAAGGTATAAAGCCGCGATTCGGAGGCCTGGGGGTAGATCAGAGTCAGTCTAAACGCCGTGAATGCGACATGAAAGTCTGACCACGTACCATGGCTTTGGGAGCTTCGAGGAGAGACTGGCCAGGGAGGGGCACTATGTAGTCCTGTTCGAGATAATGCAATGGGAGAGGCAAGAACGTAACGAAACCAGAAAAGCTCAGAGAAACCAAGCTATCGTCTACAGAAATGAAGCAATCTTTCCAGGGGTCCTTGGGGTTCTTGGTAAGGCGAGGTAGCTAAGCTCGTCGCAAACACTTTACTGCGTAGAAACGTCAGGCCGAAAGTCAAGCCACCCCTCCCCCGCCTCCGACGGAGTTGAGACCAGCGCAACAAAAGCCCCGCGCCATTTGGGCGGGGCCCCACCCAGTGACCTCACCCACCCTTCCGCCGGACGGGAGGGGAGCTTTCAAATCGCCCTCCGATTATCTGCCGGTGTAAGCCATACCTACAGTTCTAATAACCTGGGCTTGGCCAGATCCAATCTGTCTGAACTTTGCCTGTATCAATCCCTACCTAGTCTTCACTCTTTCTTTGCCTGGAATGCCGTTATTATTGTTCTCTGGAAGTAAGCAAGTTTTCAGCTTCTCATATCCTTCCTAATTCAGGTGGACAGTATATCAAGAAATGGTACATCCAAAAGTATGAGGACTACGCAGACGCTATCTTCTAAATAGTTCCTATAAACTAACAACATCAAATCAACAAGAGCTGATGATTAACAACAGACGCATCAGCAGCGTTATGGAACTTCTGGATTTATGAGAGCAGACAGTCACGTGATCATACCCACCGTAGCACCGTCCGCCCTGTCGCAAGCCAACACCTCAGCTCGCCCCGAACCGGAGCTCGGAGCCTCCAAAGAGCTCCCGCATCTCATGATTTGATTCGTGCCTTCTGACGCCTTTCATTCCCTCTACTCCCTTCCCCGGCCCGTACCCAAAGGAGAGACCCTGCCATCTCTCTTTTCCGAACCAGAAATTCCCACTCTAATCACCCCATTGCCCCCATTGCCCCAAACCTTACCGTCTGTCGTGACCTCTCCTCACCCTTTCGCCAAAAACCTTCGTTTTCCTTTCAACATATGACATCATCGACTTTTGTGAGACGAAAACCCATCGGTTCGAAATAAGCTGCGTAAGGAAGAATTGAGGTACACACACACACCTGCACCTCTCTATATCCAAACGCATATACCAACCAAGTCGGGGGGTATATTGTCTTCTCATGTTTGCGCGACTCACTCAGCTATCTCGGCATCTCCCCTCGGCCCAATCGATAACACAAGCCGTCAAGCCCGCGGCCTTCCCAATCTCCTCCTCCGGCTTCGCCCGCAACAGCAGCAGAATCATGGTTTCGGCCGACGAACGCAACACCCGCACGATTCACACAGCGGCGTGTCTCATTATCGGAGATGAAGTCCTCGGCGGAAAGGTGAGAACAAGTCCTTTAACGACGGGACCCGGCCAGCTGCCATGTAGACCGAATGAAAAGCTAACAGGTTCATCGTATTTCGTAGACGGTTGATGTGAGTAAATGCCATCCAGAAATGGCCAACTAGACTGGTAAGCAGTCTTGCGGTTTTCTAACCGTGTTAACCGATCGTCCTAGACCAACTCGGCTTACATGGCCAAGTGGTGCTTCTCTTTGGGTATTGTGAGTCTCAAAAGCCTGTAATGAGTGCAGCTTGGGGGGTATGGCTGACCCTAAAGGTAGAACTTGAAGAGAGTCGAAGTCATCGAAGACGATGAGAGCGAAATCGTCGAAGCCGTCCGGCGCATGAGCGATCGGTACGACTTCGTGGTAACCAGGTACATGCCCTCAAACCTCAATTGCAACCAGGGCCCCTAGCTAACAAACTATTTCCAGCGGCGGAATCGGCCCAACGTAAGAAAAACGTGGAATCCAAACCATGCCTTGAGACTTGATGGTTGACTGGGTTTGACAGACACGACGACATCACCTACCAGTCAATAGCAAAGGCCTTTGACCTCCCCCTCGTCCTGAACCAGGAAGCCTTTGAAAAGATGAAGAAGCTGTCCAAGCCGCACCCGGGCCAGCCAAACTTTGACTGGGACGTCGACTCGCCCGCCCTGCAGGCGAAGCTGCGCATGGTCATCCTCCCAACCGACGAGAAGCGTGATCCCAAAAAGCAATTTGTTTTCCCCCACGAGGACCTCTGGGTGCCAGTCAACGTCGTCAACGGCAACATTCACATCTTACCGGGCGTCCCGCGACTGTGTAAGTTCTCATTAAATCGTTTCTCGACATGGTTCTGATCTAACGTGTGTGGGGTCATAGTCGAGAAGCTCCTTGACGGACTGAAGCCGGGCATCGTGCCCCGACTCACCGATCCGGAGGGCAAGGGTCTCTGCCGCGTGCTCATCTCTACTCCGCTCCCGGAGAGCGCCGTTGCCGGGTTCTTGACGCAATTCGCGGCCAAGGTCGAACCCAAGGGCGTCAAGGTCGGCAGCTACCCTCGGTGGGGACAGAACGGCACAGTGACGCTGGTTGGAAGGTAAGTGATCAGCCGGGAATCGCGCAACAGTAAACGTGTCCGCCGTGCATAGCTGTGGAATGTTTCCATCTTCAAGGTTTTGAGCCCGGATGGCTGACTTTCTTCTTTTGCTACAGGGACCAGGCTTATATCGAGAGCATCGTTGCCGAGGTTGTTCAAGGCGTCGAAGGTAAGCGTGTAAACGCGGAGGGTGAGGATGATACCCAGGGCGAAGCAGGAAAAGATCTCGAATAGTGTCAGCAAAACCTCAAACTCAAATCAGATAGATCATAGCAACCCCCGCGATCCCGAAAGAAGTGGCCCTGTTGCGGCAATAACAATTTTCCTCGGGATATCCGGTTGCAACTCTGTCATCTGAAATATAAAGTGTTTGCGGATCAATTCCAGGATGATGCGCTTTCCGATACTGGAGCAGCCAACAGTAACTTGACCAACGTGAGATCATCTTCCTGTGGAAAACACCAAGCACTCCAAGTTTCGCCGAATTTGGATGAGTTGTCAATCTGTGTACACACCACATCATCGATAAACTATCAAAGATGTGTTCGCTGTCAAACTCTTCAAGAGACTTCACGATCTGACCTATGGAGGCGCGGAGACCGCACCCGGGCACGTGGTGGGGCCCTCCCAATGGGCCCAATTTGAGACGATGACAGAGCTCTGAGAAGAGATATTGTCCATGGCCATGATCGCAAACAGATATGGCGTTGCATGGTATGAATCCCATCATTCCATTCACGGCCAACAGCCAAACCGCGATGCAAGGCGGATGCACCTAGAGACTCGATAGCGTTCACACGTCGTACCTATGCGAATTCTAGTCCAAAAGATCAAGAGATCGTTGTCAACCCCATGTCGGAGACGATGGCACCGCTTGCCTGGAGCCAAGAGCCTCCCTTACACGGGTCGCCGCCTCGACCACCACGCTCTGGGTGCAGATTGCACTGCTGCAGGTCAGGGGTGGATCGAAATGACCCCCTAGGGCTTCTAGAATGACGAGCTTCTGTTGCAGCTGTTCAACACACCACGGGCCTGCAGTTCTCGAATTGCTAATTATGAGGGCGGCCCGCGAGCGAGATATGCTAGCACGGTTACCTACCGATTGGAGACTGGCTCCGTTTCGCCAGGAGATGAGCTGTGGATTGGGGCCCGGTGCTATCTGTTACGGTTCTCGACAACGTTTGGCTACACCTCCGTCTCGTGACGGCTCAACGGGGCCGTCGCTCGCGGATCCTTATCGACGACTCTGCTTCCCCATGGCTGAGGAGACCTCTTGAGACTTCCAGCAACCACTTCGGCCAAGCTATGCCTGTTGCATCGAGTCAGCCGAATGTCAAGACTCGAGAATCGATGGACGGTCAGTTCATGCTCCACAAAAGCATGTCTGCGACTACAACCCAGTCGTCGCATTGTCGCCCTCCGGACATGGATTGGCCATCCATTAAGTGGCCTGTCCGGAACTTCATCCCTCCATGTCCTGTCGCACTGTGCATTTGGCCGGGCTTGGGATAGGTTCTCCAAAAATCTCGTGGAAATCAAATCGGTTTGGTATGTCCAAGGTGAAGCACGGTCCGAGAAGAGACCATTGCTGGGCAAGATAGCATGGCGCGGATGAAAGGACGACACGGGACTATTGCCGCCTCCTGCTCAATGGCCTCATAGGGGCGATCGTGCAAGGTACTCCTGACTGGTGTTGTGCCTATTCGCCGTTCTACCCTGGCAGCCATGCTTCCATAGGCCAATCTTCTAGAAACCAACGTGAGCCCTCACAGGCTTGAACTCCTTTCGGACACTGATATGGCGGTAAGGAAATTTGTGGCTGCGCCCAAACCTGGGGTATTGGTAGTCTGTTATCCTGGGGTATTCCGAATGTGGCTTAGATGCTGATGTTGACGACCGGGCATCTCTGTGGTTGTTTGAAAAGATATGCGCCGTGGAGCGAATAATGTTCGAAGCTCTTCAACATGCAAAAATGGTTGATTCGACCAGTAATTAGATCCACTTGACATGACTTACACCGCTGCTTCGGCATGTGGCTGTACACTACAACGGCCCAGACTGCTAGACCCAAGAAGCAGAGAGATATGGCCCGAGAACGCCCCAGCTGCCTCCACTCGAAGGCATGGAAACATGCGGAGAGATGAAGAGAAGCGATCTGAGCGCAATGTCGCCAGAGATCGACCAAGTTGATGGTGGTGTTTGTGGGAAGATGATCAGCGCTGTCTTGCCAAGTTGCCGGTCGGGCCATGCCAGCTCGGCCGGCGCAAGAGCCAGTGTGAGTTTGGGCCAGTCCAAATACCGCGACTACTCATGCGCTATGGCCTTGAAGCGTTGCCGTGAACGAATCAAAGCTTCCTCGCGTCAGAGCCATCAGCAGCTACCAAGCACTGCCAGGCACTGACTCTTGATCGACGAAGAGGATGTCGTGAACTGCTGCTCTCTGTGCGTTGCATGGTCAAAACTGGGGAGATCTGACGTGGGCCACGGTGCCTGGCGGCTGTCTGACTAGAGTAGGAGTCAAGTCAAGGCGTTGAGTTATGGTAGAAGCAAGCAAGCCAAAGTTCAGATGTCAGGGCTAGGCGTCTTGGCTCAAACCCGGGATGCAAGGGACGTAGGTGGAAGCAACATCGTTTCGGTCCGTAGTTTTGGGTGTGGTTGCGGCTAAAGTTTAGTTATATGGACGTCGGGTTCCATGGCATTGAGAAGCTTCGGTATGCTTTGGACGGGTGCACGCTCGACCCATTCTGTCATAATGACAGAAGCTCTTCGCGACTTCGAA